ATCCAGGTACGCTTCCGCTTTTGGTTAATCAGTTCTTGATAATCCAACATGAACGATCTCATGACGATAAACATTATTGTTTTAATCCTACAATACGTATATAGGAGCCCAATCATTTTGTCGTGGACATTTGGGACACTGTTACATAGACATGAGAAGTGCTACACGAGCATATTCAGTTTGTGTAGGTAAATAGTATCTTTTTGTTGAGGACAAAGACATTGAACTCTTGTTTGGTTTAGCTAAAAATAAAATGTTCAGCCCATATTTGGTCCGGATTAAAATCTTTTAATCCAAGTCACAGTAAAAAAATCAATATTAACCAAATCTTTCATGAGTCCCACAACTTTTCAACCACACATTTCAAAAACTTCTATTATAATCTACTAAAAATCTAATTTTAATCCCAACCAAACACCATCTCAGTAGATTTGGATAAAAGTTCATGAAATATGTATTTGAAAAGTTAATAAAAATTGTAAACTATGCGTGTGTTTGGAACCCGTTTTTTGGCCCAATAATCAATTTCTCCTACAGTAGAATCAGACATGCGTCCCAAAAGTCAAGCCGGTTGTCAGGAACCCAATTGTTTAACCTTACCTCCCGTTGCAAAAAATTTCCATTTTTGCCCCCTTCTTCAGCATCTACAATCAATTTTCCCCAACCCATTCCAACCACTCCTCTGCAATTACCATACTGAAACCGTAAGGCTCGGCGATCTGCGATGTCGCGACCGGCTCGTTTGCCTGAGAAAAACCAGGGCGTCACTTCGCTGAAAATTCAGGTACACACCAGCCCTTTTGCAACTGTGCGAATCGAAGATTTGTATGTTTTCTCACTTCCTTCTCCTGTCCCTGTTCAGGGCTTCGATCCAGAAAGGGGATCTCCGGCAACAAAACCGGATTCTACCACGAATTTGTGTCCGGATTCCATGGACCACGAATTCTCGCAGTGGCAACCTTCACCGAACCAAACGGTAAGCCATTCCTCAAATTTAATTGCTAGCAGTATCCTCTGTCCATGTGCTACCCGTTTATACCATTTTTGTCATTTGTTTCACATGGGTATGACTCCAATTTGATGGACTTGTACATAAATTCATGTCGATCCCTGGATGCATTGGTGCCCCTGAAATCTTGTTCCACCTATTCCGAATTTGATTCTTGTGAATTCCTTGATGTTTATCAAAATTACCTGCCTCCTGTGGTTGTTCCCATGGCAGCAGTTCACAAGTCTCTGCCCACCTGAGTTCCACCCTCATTCTTCCAAGCTGCAGGCAGCCCCGGGCGTGGTGCGAAAGACGGCGAGATGGAACCAGCTGGAGCACAAAGCGTTCATTGACACTTGCGAACTTGTCATAGCTGAGGGTCACCGACGAGGCAAATGCTTCTCCTCGAAAGGATGGCAACGAATATCAGACATGTTCAACTCGTCGACGGGGAAGGACTGGACGACAACGCAGATGAAGAACTACTGGAATAAACTGCGAACGGATCACAAACTTATGTTTGAGTTGTTGCGATGCACTGAAATTGAGTACCGCTCGGGTACGGGAAGAATTCACACCGCTGACCATTGGTGGGAAGCAAAAATTAAGGTATTTTTGCACATTTTAATGCACCTGCAAATTCGGATCATAATTGGTGTTTTTATGACCTTGCACACTGCAACAACATAGAGTGTTCTTGCTCGATATATCATTTTACACACACAGGGGGTTCACATTTTCCAAATGCCTTCTGTAGTTCACGCCCCTGATGTTGGTTGTCTTTGTAATATCCTGAACATGATATTGGTTGTCCTGGTATTGCTGAAACTTGATGTTGGTTGTGTTGGTTTTGATAGATTCTTATGTACTGGCCGTGTTGGTATTGGTAGAACCTGTTGTTTGTTGTGTTCGTAATGATTGAACATGATGTTGGTCTGGTTGCTATTGATTGAACAGTATTACTCCTTTCGGTATGTATTTGAAGCAATGGATACATGTACACGCACAAAGTTTGAATTTATTTCGGACTCCCACGTCATTTGTCGTCTACCTCGTGTTTGCAGGAGAACCCAAAGTATGCGAAGTACAGGAACTTCAACTGCAGCGAGATTTATGACACGTACGGTAGATTGTTCGGGGACACTGGAGACTCGACCAAGTATGCGTTGTCCCCGACGAAGTTGTCGCACCGTGGTTTTGATTTGGGCACAGATAGCGACAGAGAGTATGGAGGTGACAAGTTGCCCATAAACGCGGAAGCCACAGATTCAAGTGGCAGCCCAGTCGAAGGTCGAACAAACTCCTCCATGAATATATCAGCACACCACAGTGGCGATAAAAGAAAAACCAAGCACAGGAAGGGAAAAGCAAAGAAGAAAATGTTTGGCGCACGAGAAGTTTCGGCTTCCCTTGAACAGATGGTTAGTGTTGGAACGGATCTTGCGTCAATTGCCCGCTCGTATCGTAAGGGAGGAATGACAATCGAGTCATGCGTTGACGAACTTCTGTCGTCTGGCCATGTTCAGGAAGGTGATCGGCTCCACCTCTTTGCCTTATGGTTCCTCCGGGACAAAGACAATTGGAACTCGTACTGTGCTGCGAAGACACCTCACTTGAGATTTAAATTCATCGAGTATTGTTTCGAGCGAGACAATATGTCCATTAATCGTAAGGATTGAGCGCTCCCTCTTGACGTTTGTGATGAGTTTGTAGTGTTTTTCTCGTTGTGTTTGGACGATTTTATGTGTACTTCACGTTTGTTACTTTTTCTTTGTAGTTATTAGTTCGTGTCTCGTAGAACCTCCGCCTTTGCGTTATAATATGAATTACCATGTCGATTCCACTACCTTCGCACTTTTTAAGATTTTTGCTGAACTTTTGTGACAGTCAAACTTCCATGGACTGCAGGGACAATATTCCCTACATCACGATTTAAAGTTTCTTGCGTGCTACAATTCCATCGATTTTCCAACACCACATTATTACGCCAACCTATGGTAGATTAATGTTTTCAACAAAACAATATTCACAAGCAGAATTTTTGTGATTGCAGGGAAGAAAAATTTTTATGGTAAAGACTTTCTTGCATGCTACAAGTATTAGGGCCACCTCTTGCATGCACTTTATGAAAAGTATTACGTGAGTCAAAAGGCTGCAGGGAACAATCACAGCTCCTACACATTTCTTTCATGCTCCAATTTTTAATTTTTTCACCGAAACGCACATTATTACTTCCACCCATTTGATTGACATTATTACACATCTAGTACAATTGGATGTACAGTGCAACGAAGAAACTAGTGTGCACATTATTTCTTCTCTGAAAAGATTCCCTTTTTTTTGGTTTCACAAATTCACATTATTGCTCCCACCCTTATGTTTTTTTTTTATACATTGGTTTTTTTTTTTAAATGTCATAAAATTCGGCTGTGAAGGGTATAGAAACAATTGTCGATGAATACCGAGCGCGTGGGAGGGTTCGTTTTTAATTTTCCCAAAACGCACATTATTACTTCAACCATTTTGATCAGCTTTTACAGAACAACAATAGGGTATAGACTGCAAAACCTAAACAATGGTGCACATTATTTTTTGTCATAAATCATTTCATGTTTTTTTTCCACAATGCACATTATTCCTCACACCCTTGTGATTCATTAGTGCAGCCGAATAATAGGGTATAGGCTGCAGGGAATAATCAATTGCGAAGGGATAAACAAGCACATTATTGCTCCCACTAATTTGCATGACCTGTTAAACAAGACAACGGGCCATGGGCTGAAAGGAATATATTTCCATCAATTGTAGTAGAGGTTTTGTCATCACTACCATAGGCTCAGTAAAACGAATAGGACATATCAGCAATTCAACGCACAGAACTTAAAATTATTAGTACTCCTGTAGTTGAAGTTTTATAAATGGCTTTTGCACGAGACAAGCAATCTTGTGCGTAAATCAAAACGATGTCTGATACTTCAGATGCGTACACATCTTCTGAAACAAACTGCGACGTTCAGTCGATGTCTGATGCGGATAGTGGTTCAGATGAAGATGCGTTGGAGCAGTTAGAGGATGACATTAACACTTGGCTTCAATTTTGTAGAATCGCACACCGAATAGTCCGCAAGTACTTGGCACCAAATACAGCACGCAGGTTTTTATTCCCGACAACACGATGCGGCCACGTTTTCATGCTACAAAATTTGCATGTGTATCCACAAACGTGTTTCCAGGAGTTCAGGATGTACCCGCCAATGTTTATGTACTTCACGCACATCCTCCGGGACGAGTACGGACTTTGCAGCAGTGCGAACATTGACATTTACGAATAGGTGGGAATGTTCTTGTGTATTCTAGCACACGGGAAAGGGTATCGGCAAGTCCAAACCTTGTTCGGCCATTCGTTGCAGACGATCAGCCATTACTTTAAGAAGGTACTGCGGGCATGCGTGGCGTTCGCGGCAACCATGATTAAACCAGATCCGCAGTACAACAAAAGGGCTGCTCACCATCATCCAAACGTGGAAAGATATCCTCTATTCCAGGTGAATACCTTTTATGACGTACATCGTCTTCGGATCGTAATTGTTTTTACGATTTTAATGTTATCTCTACAATTGTACATATTATTATTACAGGATTGCATTGGTGCGATAGACGGAACCCATGTGCAAGCCGTCCTACCACGCAATGTAAGAGAGAATTACATTGGCAGAAAGGGGATTCCGACCCAGAATGTACTGGCCGCCTGTGATTTCAATCTATGTTTTACGTTTGTGTTGCCGGGAACTACCGGCAACACACACGATAGCCGAATTTTGGCCCGTGCTGTGCATAGTGATGAAATAAATTTTCCCCAACCCGCGAACGGCAAATACTACCTGGTTGACTCTGG